AGAAGCTAAGTTAAAACTATTTGCTTAAAAAAAAAAAAAAGAGTTGAATTGACTCAAGTTTGGGAAATGCCAACGGACAAATCAATTAAAGAATTGGCACATTGGGGTAACTATAAATGTAATTAAGATAATGGAGATAATGTAGGAAACATATCCTAGTAATAAACTAATAATCATAGTTAGATGGTCATAGAAGCTATTATCTTTGGCAATAATTCACATTTGATTAGCAAAACTTTACTCAATGCAATTTACTTTAAACTTAACACATTGTATAATTAAAAAAAAATAATTACTAAAGATGTTATGTACATACCAGAAGAATCAAAGTATTGCATCACAAATACATTCATATGATAAGAAGAAAGAATTCTGGATAAAATCTATTAAAAGTATTTATCTGTGCCAAGTACTCAACAAATATATCAAATTACACGCTCTTTGGTATATGAGTACAGTATCACACTACACAGGTACTGTAAACACTATACCTGTGTAGTGTGATATAATACCTATGTACTGTGTAAGGTCCATTAGGTACCATTAGGTCGCAATTTTCAATTTTAAGTAAAGATCGAAATTAGTTTTTATTCAGATTCATTTGACTGAATCCTTATTCACAATTTGCTGTTGATACTGCCAAAACAGAAAAAGTGGAGATCCTAAAAGAGGAAACCCACCAATTCTTGACAAAGCTTTTGCCACCAGGTCTTTTTTATTGGAGTTCTTGACCATATATCTTAAATTTATACCATTCTCTCAGTGTATTCTGAATTAAATTGTGCTCATTTCTACTCTTACTTAACAGATTCTTGTAATGAGATAATAGGGTGGAAATTTCAGGCACACCAAATACTTCTGGTTTTTTTTGACCAAGTAAACCTACTAAAAACCAGTGTAGTTTTTGCCACATCATTTGTAGCAGAACTCACAAACCTATTCTTCAGACTTCTAATCCCTGCCTCCAATATTTCTTCATTTCACTTGAATCTCTGACATACTCCTTCTGTTTTGGTTAGCTTTACATTTTCGAATATCCCATTATACTAATATTTTCCACTGCACATGAATAGTACTTTAGCTCTTCAGTTGTCTTCACATGGAAGCATACCTGACTCAGAAAGTTATCTGTCTTCCAAAAAACTAGAGACAAACTCTTGAATACCAACAGAAAGCCCAAAATAAAGTGCAGAGTGAGGATAAAATCAAATATCTTCTGTCTTTTTTATCCCTTTAGATTTGATCGAGTCTCCATTCATATTGCAGGCAGCACTCTCCAAATTCTTTGACAACGATGTCAGAGTTCACTGCCACAGATCTCATGGTCCTCACTTTGCTGACCATCCACTTGACTGTGTGTAATTTTGCAGTTTTAACAATTTTGTCTCAAGGGCTCTTGCTGTTTGTGCCAGCTTCTGCAGCTTTTTGCTGGAATTGTTGTAAAATTTGAAAAGTGGTATGAGCACACAATCAAATTCACCAATAAATGGTACATGTTTAATAGACTTTAAAACACTTAACTGCAGCTTATGAGGGACACAATGTACTGCTACAAGACAAGGTGCTTTATGTCCTTTGCCATTTGCAATACTAAGCCATTGACTGCCCCATCAGTCCCAAGCCTACACACCATTTATCATTCTTCCAGAGTAAACCTAAGTTGCAAGGCTCATTGTCAACAGTATTGAAACATCCAGAAGCTGTGGTGTGTTTCAAAGGACCTATTTACCAAGAATGATTCCTTCACTTCATTGTATTTTAAATATCTTGTACAAGTAATCGCTTCTTCAGTAATGTCCCTATCAGTCAAACCATCTAATAACATAGAAAAATAAACTGAATTCTTTACATTCACCAAAGTATCTTTACATATGCAGTTTACAGTGTTCTTGACAAACACTTTTCTTTGTTTATCATTAGTGTACTTCTTTCAACATCCAACTTTCTTGCCAACTCTATCAATCCCTTCATATTACTAAATTACTTATTATTCCTTGCTATGCAGTATGTCACACTGAAGCATATGTTCAGGTTTTGAAACATCTTGTAATCTACTTTCTTTATACATTCTGCAAGAGAAGTTGTTTACTGGTATTTCATAGACATTAGATGGAGACCATATTCCTTATGGAACTTATAAAAGTTTCATGCCAAAAAGGTTCCTCAAAGCCATTAACAACACGAGATGAATTGTCACATAAATGTGGAAATTGAGGACATACATTACACTTTGCTACACCTGTACTTTTGTCAAATATAAGACATTTAATTTCTTCTAGCCACTTCAGTAAAATTTTCGTTTTTGATTTCCGTTATTGTAGCTATGACTAGATAAAGTTCCTGATGGCACTGTTGAGTTAGTTGCTCCACTAACCTCAATCCTGGAAACTGCACTGTTAATTGAATCATTATCAATGGATGCACTTTTCTTGAATAAATATGACATTTATTTTTGGGGTTACACAAAAAATACAACATAACAAAAATAATTTAAGAAATTTTAATACCAGTTGTAAGTGATCCACTACTGTTTATACTTGAGCTTATGATCTATGACATGTTAGGAGAAGGGTGATGAAGTAACAGGCTCTTCCATTTTTAAATTTTATTACCTATCATTTTTGTTATTGACAATTTAGCCTCTTAAAAAATATAAGAACAGAGTTACATGCATTTCTAAAATGTATTAAAGAAAGTTTTGATAAAAATAGTTAACAGTCTTCAACTCTTCATTTCATGAGTTAATATTTGACAATTAAAATATTTTGTGTGATTAAGATTGGGAAAGCATTGTTACTGAAAAAAAGAGCCAAGGTAGAAAGAAATTCATAGTGATTGGCCTTTAAACAGTGAAGGTCAGTTTCCTTGTCATGTTAAGGGAAAAAGAAGAATGTGTAAAAACATATCATTTCCTGCTGTGCCTTCATGACAGGAGAAACCTAATCTACTATCGCAGTGTGGTTCCAAGACAGCTGCATTATTTGGAGTGGCAGACAAACGGAGGATTAAGCTTACCCTCATTATCTCAGCCAGACGGAAAACTCTAATGGCTTAAATTCTCTTTACCCTTTACATTTCACCAACCCTGGATGATTGTATTTTGTTTAGCCCTGCCTACAACTGTCATTTTTGTGGAGGAATTCTGTAATTTTTAGTTTCAAATGTTTCATTTGTTATTGTATATGCCGACTCCACTGAAACTTTTAGAGTGATGCATATTGATAAAATTATTAAAGAACATAACCTTAAGTGACCTCAATATTTTTACAGGGTAGGCCCACGACATATTTTTCAACACTCTCCATTTCAAAATTATTTACCTGTAAATAGATTTCTGAATCATTCTCTACGAACTCAGTATCACATTAAATACCTTTTGTATAGGGGAACTGTATCACACTACATACCTTTTGTATAGGGGAACTGTATCACATTAAATACCTTTTGTATAGGGGAACTGTATCACACTACATACCTTTTGTATAGGGGAACTGTATCACACTACATACCTTTTGTATAGGGGAACTGTATCACACTACACACCTTT